GGCTGGACTATCGGAAGGGGAAACTATGAGGGGTCTGGGGTAGCATCCCCCCTCCACCCCAGACTCCTCATAGCCCCCCCTTCCAATAGTCTGGCTCTGCCCCAGGCGTCCCTGATTCAGCCGCTGCTGGTCGGTTTCAGCAGCGGCTGAATCTGGACGCCAGTTCCGACTTACATACAGATTCAACTTAAGAACAAACCTACAGTCCCTATCTTGTACGTAACCCGGGGACTGCCTGTACACAAAACAATTTTTGTTATACATTAAGCTGTTTAAATGGTATGCTTTCAGGTCACCGTGAAGAGACAATTGATATTTCAACCATGGACGTTGTAAAATCAGCAAAACTAATTTAGCTAAAAGGCCTTTCATCAAAATCTTCTCATGGTTAATCTGGCCACTTCTTTACAACAGCAGCAACCAATACCGTACTCATCTCAACCCAGTATTTGTATGGAAGCTATTGGTACTTTTAGTTTTAATTAATGTAACACATAGTTGAACTAAGTCTAATTCTGTGGCGTCCAACACACATGTGGCTATTTGGCCCGTTGAGTGTGGCTATTTGGCTTGAACAATGTGGATACTTGGCCGGTTGAGTGTGGTTAGTTCGCTATAGCTGTAGCCACTACAGTGGCTATTGCTTCAGGACTTGTTGGACACCATGGCTCTAACTGATGCTCTCTTCCTTCTCCTATGAAACCACTAAAAAGCAGTGGTGATACACTAAAAAGCTCTGGTGAAACTCTTAAAAAGGCTTGTGAATGATATTAAATTATATATATTATATTAGCAATGTATGTGGAGAATTGTGGTGATTTAATTATGAAGTTTTGAATGTTACACCATGTTCAAAAAGGAAAATGCCCACAAATTAAATAGTGATGGATACATAATGTCAATTAGGACAGAGTGAAGAGAGTGAAAATTTTCTCTTATGTCTTTTAGCTTTCCTGATCATCTTCTTTGGCTTGTTTAAAGGTGACTAAATCTTTAATTACATTCTTTTTTAAGAGCATATCAGTATCTTCTGAAAGCAGCTGACATGAACCATACTAAGGCAATGGAGAAGGTGTCTTATGCTCTGTTGTTTGGGGATTATCTGAAGCAAAACATCCAGTCTGCTAAAGAGCTGTTTGAGAAACTGACTGAGGAAGGATCTCCTAAAGGGCAAACGGTATGTATGCTCTAAAATAGTAGTCCCCAAACTATGAGAAATGACTTCCTAGAGGAATACAGAGGTGTGATTAGGAAGTGTGCGGGGGGAATGAAGCAGAGCCCAGGCCACCCGGCCCCACTCTCCCCGTACCCCACCCGTGGCTCCACTCTTGGCTGCAGCTCCTGGCATGAGCATATTACAGTAGTGATGATAAAGTTTGGGGGTCACAGCTCTATAGAGAGCTGTGTTAACCATTGGTTTTATTAGCTTCAGCAATGGCCAAGGACTGGATTGGCCATGAAGACTGATCTCCCTTCTCACTTCTAGAATGGGATGAGAAACGTTGATGGAAGAAGCTGGCCCTACTTTTCCTTGGGCTACATCTATTCTGTGGATAAATAGGACTTATGTCTCTTGGGCTGCAATCCATAACCTTTTTTGCTCCATAATAGATCAATCAATCTAATATCTAGAACTGATCTTTTGACTCTAAGACATTTAGAAGAAAATAGATTTTTTTTTCTGTGTGTAAGTATCAAGGTCTGGTCTTCTCATCAATTTAATTATGTGCTTGGGTGTAGAGCAGAAAGATGTAGGTTAGTAGAATGTGAAGATTTGAGTCTACACATTTCTTTTAAACTTCCGAGACAATAACCAGGTGCTATTTGTTTGGCTATGGAATTTACATAAAGATAACTCCTGATCGTTATGTCTCTTTCAAGGATAAAGTCCATTGGGAATTTAACAACTGTTGGATTAAACATAATTGCTGTTTTAGTCACAAACATATATGTTTTAAACATTCTAGCATTTTGGACTTTTGATTTTAAAGGCTGTAGGTATCAACACAGAGTTTTTGTTAAATATTTGCTAGGGATGTTAAAATGTTTAATTTTGTAAATGTGTTTAACCACTGTAAATTTCAGTGGTTACACATTTACACGCAGAAGAGCAGGTAGAAGCCAGCTTTTAAGCAGCTCCCTGCAAGCACCTGATCTCGCCACCCCCTTCCCTCCCCTGCTGTCTCTGTGGGAGGTGCGGTGGGGGGAACCTGCATACAGCTGACTCCTCACACATACTGGCTCTGCCTGTCTCTCCTCTCCCCCCTCCCCCCCGCTGCTGTTGTACTTAAAAGAAGTACTCGGGATCTTTTTCAGAGGGATAAGGCAACATGCCACATTTATTGAACACACATAGAATAATCAATACTTATCATATATATATGATATATAATGTCACTCATGCACTCACACACACAAGCACACTCCATCTTGCTGTTGTTACCAACTAGTTGCTCCCCTTAACTTCACTGGCCAGGTGAGTACGATGGGGGAGGAGTGGAGCCGGGCTTCTGCCAATCCGGATCGATGCTCCGATGGTGACAAGACGAAACCCGGGGTCCTCTGCAAGACACCTCACTTTTATAGCAGCATCCCTCTTATGCAAATCTATCCCAGATTCAAAATCTGGGTCTGTGTCCATTGGTCCTTTGTGCTGCTTCTCTCTGGGTATTGTCCCAATGCTGTTCAGAGAGGATGTTTTCCAAAGAAGGTGCTTGCTTCTAATCCCCAAGGCGGTCAATATGTCTGCTCTTCTTTCTTGAGTCCACTTGACAAATTTTATTGTTTGTACTTGGGTCTGGCTTCTACCCCCTCTTCAACTGTTGTAGCTGTCTGGAGGTGCTTGGCTTCCACGTCTTACTCATTCACACCTCATTCATTCAACAGGGCAATTGATTACAGAGGTGGGGGAAGATCTTATTGTACTCCTAGCAAAAAGTCATTTTTACCACTTTATATACTCAGTTTTCTACAAGTTTTCTATATAGGGTTCTAATACAAAGTTACAAGGTTATATGGTCTAATACAAAGATACAAGGTTAGATGGAGAGGCACAATGCCAAGTCATATGAATTAATATACTTAATACATAGATTTATCTACATTGTTTCTGTATCAGAGGTGGCGGGGAGGGGCAGGTGGCTCCGCAAGAGCTGGTACTCATGAGGAGCCAGTTTAAAAGCCTTCTCCATGTGCACTGGCTCCTGTCTGCCCTCCCACCACGCCACCCTCTTCTGTCTATGTGAGAGGCTGCAGCTCAGCAGTGGTTCCACAGTAGCTGGCACCCACAGGGAGCCAGCTTAAAAACCGATTTTCCCGGACATACTAGCTCTTGCCTGCCTCCTCCCCTGCTACCTCTGAACGGGGGACTGTGTGTCATTTAAGATTAACCAGTGAGCTCAGGCTCGTCAGTTGATTGTGTATATGGCTACACTTTCACGTCCCTAATATTTGCATATACGGTTTCTACAAGGTACAGATAACTGTTTCTAAAGAAAGCCTCGTCCTGCTCTCCCTTCATTTTTCTTGTTTCCTGTATGCACTTCTCTATTTCCTCACACACACCTGATTGTCATTGAAGCACTCAATAGGAGGTTGAACAATATTTTTTGTAGTTTTTGCTAAAATGTCTATCATAATAAATATACAAATGTCCAAAAATGGAATGGAACTCAGCTGTTCCTATAAATATAACCATATACATATATTAACTATAATAAGTGGGATTTCTTTAATTATAAAAGTGCGTATCCTAGTCTAAAGGCATTATACAGGCTAAAGATATAATCAATAATATATTATTTCAAAGAACTCATGCCACATTAAAAGAAATTTTCTTAACCCATTCCATACCTTATTCAGCTCCTTCTTCTGGGAAAAGAATATTCGAGCATGCTGTGAAGTTCATTCTCTTAATATCCATGTTCTGTCATGTTCTGTCCAATGGAGTGATTCAAAGGCTTATTAGCACTGCTGAGGTTTGTTTGTGACTTGTCTAAAGGGTACAACTGATTGTTTTTAATTAGTGCTGTGTCAAGACCTGGCACAAACACAACAGGTTTTTCAGAGTCAGTTGTCAGGCTCACTGAATTTGGTATCAATGTGATTTGCAGCTCTGTGAAAATCTTGAGCAAATCTCAAGCAATCTTTCCGTGTCTATTATGATGCAGGGCTACAGTGTACTAGAAATACCAGCAGGAACACTTTGTACAAGAAGCCCTTGCTATTTGCAGTTATGTTGTTCACCATTTCATATATTCATGGTGCTCTGTCACACCAGCCCATGCACATGATGCAGTATGCTGACACTTTTCCAATGCGTTCTATAGTTTAAAAAAAAAAAGTACTGTACAGTCACTGAATTGCAGTAATATCAACACACACCTTAAATTATGGCACCAAAAAGAAAAGTGAGTGATACCAATGGTGGTCAAGGGCTAAAAACAGAGAAAAGGTAATGACTTTAAGCTTGAAAGTGGAATTATTGGATTAGCTTGCGAATGATGCAGTGCACTCTTGGTAGCTAGAATGTACGGCATTAAAGAATCTACCGTGCGTTATAATAAGAAAACAGAGAAAAACAGTGTTGCTGCAAGTGTACCACTTATGTGAAGGTTTCATGTGTGTGCCTGATTCCATAATGGAGAAAATGAAAAAGGCAATAAGCATTTGAATAGAATACATGGCACAGAAACAAGCACTTGTGAATGGTCCTGTAATTTGAGAAAAGGCTTTGAAGCAAAATGCAGGACAATGTAGCACTTTAAAGACTAAGAAGATGGTTTATTAGATGATGAGCTTTCGTGGGCCAGACCCACTTCCTCAGATCAAAAAACCTTTGAAAGTAGTCACAACCATATATACCCCACTTCCTCAGATCAAAAAAGGTTTTTTGATCTGAGGAAGTGGGTCTGGCCCACGAAAGCTCATCATCTAATAAACCATCTTCTTAATCTTTAAAGTGCTACATTGTCCTGCATTTTGCTTCAACTACCCCAGACTAACACGGCTACATTTCTATCAGAAAAGGCTTTGAGTTTGTGGAAGCATTTTGTGCATCAGGTGGTGACAGGGGTAAATATGACAGTGCAGTTTCATTGATCTCAAGCAAAGGGTAGTTTGAGAATTTTAAAAAGAGCCACAGTTTACATAGTATGAAATTAATGGGGGAATCGGCATCAGCAGACCATAGATCAGTGCAGGATTATTCCCCACAGCTTTTTAAAATTATTCAGTAAAAGGGTTATATGCCCCAACAAGTTTTCAACACAGACAAAATTGCCTTGTTTTAGAAAAGGATGCCTGCAAAAACATCTTTCCAAGGAGGAAAGGACAGCTTTGGGCTTCCAGGTAGCAAAGAACATGCTAACCCTTGTCTTCTGCGTTAATGCTGTGGGAGACTGCATGATGAACCCTATGGTGCTGTACCGCACATTAAACCTCAAGGCAGTAAAGGTAAAGAATAAGCACAGCCAGCTGGCTTTTTGGAGGTCAAATAAGGGTCTGGGTCATGGTTGATTTATTTTTAGACTGATATTCCACAACTGTTTCGTCCATGAAGTAGAAAATACCTAGGATTCAAAGGGCTTTCCTTAAAGTGCTACTCATCTTGGACAATGCACCAGGGTACCCACAAACCAGTCTGCAGTTTGCCCTTTCTAACATTGGAAGTGGTTTTCCTGCCACCCTATACAACTTCTCTCATCCAGCCTCTTGACCAGAGTGTGATTTTATTTATTTATTTATTTATTTATTTTACCTCCAGAATGGCGAGGGCTTCCTGTATCTTTTTTTCTTTACTAAATACTAACTACAACAAATAATTCTTAAGGGAGAGAGCTAATGGATAAGTCCTTTGTTCACCTAGCAGAATTATATTGCAGCACAAGTTGAATCTCTCTCGTCCAGCACTCTCTGATCTGTCAACATCCATGGTCCAGCATGATTTTAGTTAGCCAGATGTCCACTTATCTGGGTGTGACTGTTTCCTGTAGTACCATAAAGTTTGTTTCCCGCCAGCAGTCCTGGCTCTCAGTGTTCTGTTCTATTATTTAGCTCTAATTTACCCCTAAATGTCTTCTACGAGCCCAGTAAACAGTGGAAGTGTTGGTAATGTTGCTAGTGCTGGTAATATTGATCTCCCATGATTCAGCAAATTCTCTGTTTCGGCACTGGTCGAGTCCTGAGGGTGCCGTATTAGAGAGGTTAAACTTGTACCATCACTATCATACAGTAAGCCTATTTGATCTCTTTAGATGAATCTACACTAGAGGTTAAGAGGAACTACATATTAGTCTTCATTCCAGGGCATAAATGTTTGATTATGGTTACAAATGTCTATGGATTAGTATTTATAATACTTGTTGGCTATCAATTAACTGTAATTAAAAACTGTACTATAAATAAATTTTCTGAAATCCTCTTTCCAGAAGTTCAGGCAGTGAAGTCCGGATCTAAGGTTGATGCATATTCACTGCTTCTTCATAGCAATATCAGTTTCTGAAATGTGGCCAGTCCCATTTACTGTTGTTTTAAACATTTCCCCTTTTGTTCATAATTTACAAAACTGATCCTAAAACTTCCAAATATTTATTGACTTATATTTTTAATTTTAGGCTCTTGGATTTCTCTATGCATCTGGTCTCGGTGTCAATTCCAGTCAAGCTAAGGTAACTCTGTAAAATCTTTACTTGTGCATTTATTTCTCTTCAGATGCAAATGGTTAACTATCTTCTGTTCTTATTTTAGGCTCTGGTTTATTACACTTTTGGAGCTCTTGGAGGAAATCTGATAGCGCATATGATTTTAGTAAGTGAGATTTCATAGCTAATTCACAGAATGAAAGTTAATAGAAATGATCCATTTTCAGTTAGTTTTATATTTTAGGATATGTCTTCACTACAGGATAAGGTCAAAGTAAGATATGCAATTTCAGCTACATTAATTGCATAACTGAAGTAGAGGTACCTTAACATGACTTTTGGTTCTGTCCATGCTGCAGGAAGTTGAAGGGAGAACATTTCACCTTCAACTTTTCTTACTCCTTGTGGAAACAGGACTACTGGCATTAACCAGAGTGCCCCTCTCAGTTCGAATTAGCTATCTTACCTAGACTTGCTAATTCGAACTTTGGAAGATCAACTGTGGCAGCTTCAATCTTCTTTGTAGTATAGATACACCCTTAATTATTAAAATCATGAATGATCCTGAAAGTGTAGATGTTCATGATTTAATGTTTAAAAACTGTATCTGGTGTTTCTTATTGACTACTCATGTCAGTACTACTTATTACAGAAACCTTCCATGGAATGTGGAAACCAACACTTAAGACTCAAGTCTCCATTCACAACTATTCTGAATGTATTTATCTGTATGGATTTCAATGAACTTACTCCAGGCTTAACTGGGATAAATGAAAGGAGAGTCAGGCCCTTAAAAACGAAACGCTCCTAAACAAGACCTTGTTTTCCCCAACAGAAAGTATAAAACGCAGATGTAGAATATGGTATACAAGATGCAATGCTTTTAAATAGAATGTGTTAACTTGTTGCTCCTGAAGCATCGAAAGTTGTTTAGTTGTTTGATTTAAACATAAATCTCATTGGTTACTCTTGCATTCATTCGTGTTAGAAATAAGAGGTTCATGTCCAGAAATCCTTCTGACCTAGCATTTAACAGTATGTCTAATTTCAAGCACTTCTGCTGCTGTAAAAAGTTGATGAAAGTAGCACAAGTGCATCAGTGAATAAATGGTTGTATAATAATGGATGTTTCTTTTTTTTTTTTTTTTTTTTGCATGCTGCTAAATACTATATAATAATGGATGTTTCTTGGTTTTTTTTTTTTTTTTTTAATCTTTGCAGGGTTACCGATACTGGGGTGGGATAGGAGTCCTTCAGAGTTGTGAATCTGCTCTCACTCACTATCGGCTTGTGGCTAATCATGGTAATTTTTTTTCTTATTTACAAAGGAGCAAGTCTAGAATTACCTACAATAGTTGTCTGGGCACACTTGAAAATATTTAGAATTTTATATTCTTATATTTCCATTTGTTGAACACGCTGGTAGATTAACCTTCTCCTTCATGAACTTATCTAGTTCTTTTTTGAACTCTGTTACAACATTGACCTTCACAACATCACCAATTAATGATACATTCTTCCATGTATATCCTTTAATGTTGAACTTTTAATTCCAGAGAATGCCAGTGTACTTTACAAATTGACATTCCTAGGCAAGATTTATAGAAAACGTAATAGATTTTTCTTATATTTATTTCAAAAGCATACTTTGAATTCTGGAAATTCAGAGTTAATGCTGGTTGTGGAATCTGAACTCTAATTCTACACTGTCTTGCACTGTGCATCCAGGTAAAGCAGAGTCTCAACCAAATTGTCTACACTCCTTTATCACTTACTTATATTACACAAAATCATAGCATAATTAGTTTGTTCTTGAGAACTACTTATGCTAATATACAGCCTTATGTGCCCAGTGCATAGAATTTGATGGATGTTTGATTTCAGTAAAATCAGTCTTTTTGGTGGTGGTGTGCCAATAATGTAGCTCTCCATTGAAAATTGTCTTCAAATGGCTTGCTTTATATGTCATTGTAGATTAAGTTCATATTGCTTTTCTTGTTCTTCTCGTATTCTTGTCAGTGGCTAGCGATATATCTCTGACAGGAGGCACAGTGGTGCAGAGAATTCGCCTGGCAGATGAAGTGGAAAATCCAGGAATGGCCAGTGGGATGCTGGAGGAAGATTTGATTCAGTATTATCAATTTCTAGCAGAGAAAGGAGATGTACAAGCACAGGTACAATCATTGTGACATGATAGTGGGACTCTTCCAGAAGCTGTTGGAGCAGTGGCAGTTATGCAAATAATGTGAAGCTCTCAAGACTTGATTCTTCTTTCTCCCAAACTAACATGACTACTAGAATGGATCAGAAATTTTTTGCTGAAACTTCTTTTGATGGAAAATTGCTTTCTAATTATATGATGATTTTTGTTTTGTTCAAATTTTAAGATTTTTGTTAAGATACAAAACACTCTTGGTTGTCAAACTTAAAAATTCCATCAATAAAAATGAGCATTATTTTTCTGTTTTGGGGTAGGTGCATGTGCTAGGAAATACAATTTCTCCTTTTGATCAACATGCTAATGATTGATTTCCTCACAACCTGAGGAAGAGAGAGCTTTGCAACACCCTAACTCCTCAGGCCAGTTTAGGAGCAGAATTGGCTGTCCTGGAGGGAGCATTGGTCATAAGGACTTATCACTGTGCAGGGCCTTCAGGAGGAGTAAAGGACTGCTGAAAGCCTTTGAGAGACCAGTATTTCCATACTTTGATATCTTACGAGTACAGGCAGTCCCCGGGTTACGTACAAGATAGGGACTGTAGGTTTGTTCTTAAGTTGAATCTGTATGTAAGTCGGAACTGGCATCCAGATTCAGCCGCTGCTGAAACTGACCAGCGACTGACTACA